CAGTAAGAGACTGCCCTGCACATTTACATAAACCAAACAAAGACTGAAAACTCCAATAAACATGAACTTTAACCCTTTGCAGAAATAATAAAACTAAACATAACTGCAGTATCTACAAGGAGATGGACACTGTAAACAGGCAGGGCAGTGCGACTACACACCATTACAGAAATCAAGGTAAATCACTAAAAACAGATCACTGGCCAGAGATCAGTTATTAGCTAATGTAAGGCCCTCCGGAGGGGGTGGCCTCATTGGCATGGGGGGCATGGGCATCTGTGGGGGCATCTGAGGGGCTCCTGGGGCACCAGGCGGAAGAGGAGGGATGGACATTCCCCCTGGAGGGGGAGGGGGCAGAGAGTCGTTTGATGGGTGATCTCCACTCATAAGGGGAGGAGGACGCTTCACAGTGGCAGCAGGTGCTGGGCCGCTCGACTGGGTAACAGGTTTCTCCATTTTGAAGTGGAACTGTAGGAAAAACTGGATAGAACAACAAAAAAAGAACAATTAAAGACATGTTTCCACTATTAGAAACAATTTAGGAAAACTAATATACGAGTTCCACTAGTTCAAACTAGTGTATCACAGAAACTTTTTACAAGGATTTTTAAGATGAAGAGGTAAACATATAGAACAAATATTAAGGTCACTTTATTGACTCACTGTTCCCATCAACTGCTATTTGTGCATAACAGCTTGAAAAAATTTGAAATATAAACAAGTTCAAGCGACCGTTTTACCTTCATTCACCCACGGGCTGACATTCACCCACGTTTGTTTACTAATTAGATCAGGTTGCATGTAAATGAGGTAAACAATGATTCAGAGCTCTCTCACTCTGCGGCACATTATTGACTTCTCATACGGAAAGACAGGGAAAATTCCCCAAGGTGCGCATCTTATCAGACAGCTAGAAGCTAAATCTACACCTCTGCTGTTCCGTTTTTGACACACAGTGGGTCCACTTTGCTTCACCCCTCCCATTGGTTCTGGCTGCTGGACCCAATAACTCTACTGGCAGACACTCTGTAACATACATGGTACCTGTTTAGTTTCTTTGTTCCAGTGGGTCCAGAAGCGGTTTTCTGCTTTATCAATTTCTCTGCTGGGTACCTAAAACAGCAAACATCTTGTTATTATACGAGTGAAGGAAAAAATGACAAAGAAAAAACAAACATAAGGGGAAGAGAAAAGTGCAGGTCTCACCTTGAAAGCAATGGTCTCATATGGTTCAGCAGCAAAAAGCAGGTACTGCCAGCGACGATCGGGAGGCTCAATGCGCTGTTCGTAAGCAGACATGAAGCGATGCCTGGGTCCAATTCCTTCAGCGATCTCTGGATAGTCAATCTGATGGGCCAAGAAAAGAAGGTCAGTAACACATGGCCTTTACTGTTGTGGTGTTGTGAAACTTTGCAGGTTAGAGCATGAGGTTATGATTTGTTCCTGTGACCCAGTTTCAGTGTAAAGCCCCTTTACACTCACCAGATTATCCAAAGAATAAGTGAGCATTTTGCTTTGGTTTGAAGCACACAAATAATAACTTATTTACGTGGCCTCAAAAGGATACTGGATTATGTGCATTCTTTCAAAATATACAAACCTGGAAAAGTAAAGATTGCTGTCCCATCTCTGGATCCCTCTGTTTGGTCACTGTGAATAATAAAAAAAAAAAAAAAAGAAAACGTTAATTTTTTTTAACAATGCATTTTTTAAAGAAACTAGTATTATAAACCAAAGTGTGACTACCATATAAAATGCCAGAGCTTGCCTACCTTTGTATCCTGGTCGACCAATTTTGACAAACTTCTTGACCTCAACTTTCACTTTGGCTGGAGCTGGTTGAGCAGGAGCTTCTTTTGCTTCTTTGGCTGCCCTCCGTGCTCTGAAAAATGTATGTAAAAGGTTTTCCTCAAAATTACATTTCTTTAAATTTAAATTTCTCCAGAAGTTTCCCAGAAGTTTTAAATTGGGACTCATTTGTGTTAAACAGCCACTTTAATTAAATCAGAACATAAAGTTACAGCTATTGCACTTCTGTGTTGTAGCACAGATAATGTATGGACTTACAGATTGGTCTGGTGTTTCTTTCCTTGTGTGTGAGCCAAGTAGCTTCCCTGAAATACAGAGAGACATTTTTTAATTTTTCTTTTCAAATAAGACACCCCGATGACAAGAAATAAAAACAAATTCAGTTAACAGAGAAATGTCTCATTATGCATCTCTCACCTCATTGTTGTGAAGTGTCAGACAAAGTTTGCACTCATATGATCCTAAATGGTTCTTCATAAAGTAGGGGTCTTTGTTGATATCAATGGTCTCCAAAGCCAACTGACGTAACCGTTCTCGCCTGTCACGGTTACTCTCAGAGGCAGATGCCACCCCTCCGCTCCCCGTCTTCCCTCCAGCTCGATGCTGGAAATCCATTTTTGTAAGGTTTTGGACTTAAACAGTCACACGAACGTTGACAGTTACTCCAAATAGATTCCCCCGATTACCTGGTGAAAAACAAAACAATAAGTACTAGGGCTGGGCCATATCATACCATTCATAATACCGGTATAATGTTAGGCAATGATAAGAAAATGAAATATCGCAAAAGAATATGGGTAAAACGCGCACGTGCAGTGCCTTTGTTTTCATACATACATGGCGGAAAAAGCATGGTGGCGACGGAGAATGAGAAGGGCGAAAGCGAATCGTTGAATGAAACAGATGAACCAGAATTGGTTTGTAAAAATGCTGCAACTTCAGTGGTGTGGAACTGGTTTGGCTTTCATCCGTCAGATACACACCAAAGCACATTTTTTGGTAGAGAATGCAAGTGGGCCGTCGTTATTACCATACCGATTTTATGCAGTACGCGGCGCTCAAAAATCTGTCAAAAAATGTTTTAGTACGACTTTACGAAGCCGCACCACTTGATGGATTGTCGGAGCAGGTACCGTAGTCAGGAGCCTCGCAGAGTAATATGTACTGTGCTTCAACATAATATTACCGCATTGTGTGTATAACCTCTTTTTTTAAGTTTTATGGATATTATACATGGTTATGCTCAGGATATGTCGGCAAATTTCCACTGGTAATGCCTTTTGGTTAAACTGTCAGGAAGGAATTTGCATTTGCACTGTTAAATTTTTATATAGCTTTAATGCACATAAAAAACAGCTGCTTGTTTAAGTGAAAATACATTGATTTTTTTTTTTGCACTGATAAAGTTGTGGAGTTCTAAAATATTTTGTCTCGCGTCAATTATATCGTCAGTTATATTGTTATCGCAAATTTTCAAATATATATCGTGATAAATGTTTTTGGCCATATTACATTGCCCTAACAAGTACTGCCAGTGAAGGTCCACATTAATAACCCTGCACTCCAGGGCTGTAGCACAACAACAGCATCATGTGTAGATTTGCATTATTACTTGTGTTTTAGCTAAGGCTCTAACCTGGACACATTTTTATTGCTCAAACCTATATGGGTCATATAACCTGTTTTAAAAGCAACTCGTCATTACAATCCCCTCTATACGAAGATTCCCAATGCTAACGTCCTTACAAAGAGTCAACATGAACACTGCGGAGTAAGGCCCAAACAGCGGTTTTTAGAGGACCAAGTTAAGTTATCGGTGGCAATTTACCAGCGAGCAAAAAAAGATTCTTCCCGTTATTAAAAAAGAAATCCATTCTTCTGAATGATCCCAACAACATCTAGCTAGCTGTAGCATTTTAGCATACAAAAGCCGCTAAATGCGCTAGCAATTTTAATGCTAAGCTAATGGTGCTACCAAATAAAAATGAAAAGCTTTTAACAAATACAGATGATTAAAGTGAATATTAAAAATGCAAAATGACCACATCCGTTAGCCACAAAATTAAACATTTTAGGAGTCTACAAACAGATTACTTTATCAAAACACTCACCAGTTTCACAACGACAGCGACACGCTCATCTGATTTGTTGCGCGCATGCGCTTCAGTAGATTCTTTTTCCCGGGTTTTGGTGGTTTGTAAAAATCCCTCTGGTGTGTTACTGCCACCTGCTGGGCTGGATCTCCAGCCAACACGACGGCTGGACCTATGAGGGGGGCCTTCGTGTTCTTAAATTTCTGATTGTTTCACAGCAGCAGACACAGGAGGTAAAAAATAATTAATTAAAAAACATAAACTGCTCAGTGGTTCATTTAGAAATTCTGGCCTTTTTCCTATTTCATTTTCAGTAGAAACACAATTCTAAAACACAATTTTTAAAGTTTAGCATTTTTTTTAAAGTTTTTTTTCTTAATTTCTTAATTTTTTTTCATTGTACTTGACAGTTTTTTTTAGTTTCGATTTCATTTTCAGGTAAGCTGTAGTGCTAAGAGGCCTAAAAGTTCTGCTAGCCACCACTAGCCTGAAGCATTTAAGGCAGGATGGAACAATAATTTCATGGTCTTTACCCCAAATTCTGACACTATCATTCAAATGTGGCAGCACCAATAAATATGCTTATTTAATTTTATTTAATTTATTTAATTTTCATAAGCTTGTGTGAATTGTAGCCTCAGCTTCCCTTTCGTAACTGACACGAGTGGCACCAGATGTGGTCTTCTGCTGCTATATCCTATCAGCTTCAGTGTTCAATGTGTTGCCCATTCAGAGACACTCTTCTGCATATTTTGGTAGTAATCACTGGTTATTTGAGTTACCGTTGCCTTCCTGACAGTTTGAACCAGCTTGGCCATTCTCCGCTGACCTCTAGTATTAGAAAGACATTACAAATACATTTGTAATACCAGCAGAGAATCAGAATCAGAATACTTTAATAATCCTTAACGAAATTATGTGGGTTTCAGTTGCTCCAAGACAATAACAGTAATAGACTAAAGTAATGAAATAATATAATACATTACAAAGTTTACAAATGTAAGAAATAGCACTAATATATACACATGTTCAATTGTAAATATCAAGAAGAAAGGGCACAGAGCAAAGGAGCCATTTTTGACCTGCAGAGGGCAGTAACGCGCCTGACGAAGAAGAGGAAGAAGACAACCTTAGCAGAGAGGAGTGTCATTACTACTAGAGGTGTGGGTGTGTGACATGAAGTCCAGAGCTGTTGTTTTCAGTTGACCCTCAGAAATGATCAAACGCAGTCCGACAGGTTTCGGGGACGTTAGATAACGAAGCAGCGACGTGGACTCAGCGGTGTATACAGTATAGTTTTTGCACCGTACTACCGTTAGCTAACTCCTGTGTTATGCTTTCGACTGGGGGTACGGGTCCTCTTTAGCATCCGTGTACCTGCGTGTGTCCATCTGTTTGTCAAGCCTGTGAGTGTTTGTGTGTGTCCGCGATGCGTTTCAACGAGAAGGAGCTGGTGTTACTGAGCCGCCAGCCCTCGGAGAGAGCAGCTGAACTGGGGATGAGAGGTCCCAAGAAAGGAGACGGTAAGGACAATCATTCAGACGCACTTCCGTTTCGTGTATTTGGGCACAGCAGCTAATGTCAGCATCAGATATTAGACATATCTCTCTGTGTACTTCATGCGACAGCTGGGCTGCTTTGTGTTTGTTGTAGAGACGAGTTTGTCTGTCTAACTTCCCTTTTGTGGCCTTGCAGTTGTAAAGAAGAGGCTAGTGAAACTTGTCGTCAACTTCCTCTTTTATTTCCGGACTGATGAGGAAGAGGTCAGTATGCTTGTTGTCACAGCATTTTCTGTGAATACATTTGTTTCAAAAGTGGGGTCAAAATTAACTGAGTGTTTATTTGGCAGCCAATTGGAGCTTTGCTGCTGGAGCAGTGTAGGGTGGAGAGGGAGGACAGCCAGACTTTCTCTATTGGTAAGCTTCAGCATCCTTTAGAGGTACAGTTAGGAGTGACTGTAAGTCTATAAGTGACCGATTTGTTTTTGGTAGTTCTGCCTCTGTACACAACCCCAGTGGTTTTTACATCAAACAATGAACATGCCTTTGAAGCGCAGACTCCCAGCCTCTTTAGGAGTTACAACCATTTTTATAAACTGTAACCCTCTGCGCTGGTCTTTGTTGCAGCCACCTTTAGTTACTAGTTTTGTGTTATTGGGTTGAGATCGGGTGACCAACTTCAGTTGAAGACGATCCCATTTCTTTGGTTTAAAAAACTCCTGAGTTGCTTTTGCTCATATTTCTATCAGCAGTCACAGAGTGCAACTCCCGCCGAAGAGCAAGGGCTGTGCTAAAACTGTTATATTTTATGATGTCTTTATTACAACATGCTGACATCAACCTGTTAATGGCATCATTGTGACATCATCGGGTGTCGTATTGAGAAAATTGAAAGTGTGTTGTACTGGTCTCTCCATGTGCTTTCATATGATATATTACTCAATATAATTTCTTTAAAATGGTTTTCAAGGTCAACTTTGACCTTGGGTGCTAGAAATGAAGATAAAGGTCAAATGCTTAGCCAACCTAGTTTTAATTTACCCCATGGTCTAGTTTCTTGTTGTGAAATTTGAAGACAATCCATTAAAAAAATTGTGGATGATATAAAGTTTACAGCTTTTTTTTCATATTCTGTGTGACTTTAGCATTGACACAATTCTCACTAAAATGAAATCACCTCGAGCTGTATTGGTATCTACCATCACACCAAATGTGAAAATTATATCATGAAAACTGTGGACACTAAACTGCTAACAAGTAGACAGACAAATGGTACCGATTACATACTTCGTCACTTTGGAGGGAAAATAAATATTAGTGATCCGGTTCCACTGGCAGCCATATAATGCCCATGTATGACAGATAATGTGTGATGCCTCCGATCATGAGCTGTGTCTTTCCTTCTCTGTACTTTTCTCCTTCCATCATCCTGGTACAAGTTCATCTTGGTTTGATCTGTGCAGACTCTGTTAGATGTTTTCTGAAAAAGTCTAATCTGGCCTTCCTTTTCTTGAATGTAACCAGTGGTTTGCACCTTGTTGTAAACTCTCAGCATTTCCATTCATGAAGGTGTCTCTTCATTCTAGACTTTGATGTTGTTGAGTTGGCCAGTGCATTTCTTCTTCCTTTTTAAGAATGCACCAGATTGCTCATTTGGCTGTTCCTACAGTTGTTGTTGTTGTCTCTCATTTAGGTTTATTTTGGTTATTCGGCCTCCTGCGCCTTCATCAACATCATCTGGAATCAACTCCATACTTTTTATCTGCTTATCTTGTCATTGAACAAGGAAACAGGAAACACCTGGTCATGAAACTGGCAGTCAGGTGTTTGACTGTGTAAGAAATGGTTGTAATACCTAAACAATCAGTTCATTACTTTTGTTAACTACATTGAGTTAAAGCTAAAGTCTGCACTTCTGTAATATTGTAATAGTTTGATGCAGAATGAACCGTGGTGGTATATAGAAGCAAAACTACAAAAACATATTGACCTAACTGTATATTTCACTTTCTCACTGGTGCTCTGCTGTTTCTGCTTGTTTCCTTCATGTGTTTCTGATCTCTAATGGCCTCTGTTTGCTGTAGCATTTCTGGATGAAGCAGAGAGGAAATATGTGTTTGAATGTGATACTGAAGAGCAGTGTGCCGAGTGGATAGACTCCATTATCAAAGCAAGGTAGGACTGACTTTTCTTCTTTCTTATTCCAGGAAGCACAGAAGCTTACAGACACTTACAGCCGTCAATAAGTGATTAATAAATGGAGAAAAACGTAACTTTTAAACCAAATGTATTTTTTTGACCGGGTATCAAATAATATCCCATAAAGGTCAGAACACACTCACTGCATACTCCAATAGTTACACCTGTTAAACTGATCTTTAAAGCAAATATTTAATCAGCCAATCACGTGATAGAAACTCATTGGAGTTAGCCAAGTAAACACAGTCATGATGATCTGCTGAAGTTCAAACTAAGCATGGTGCAGGTGGTGATGGCCAAGACAAAAAAAGTAAAACCCTTAACCCCCCCACAGTGAGTAGTTTTGTTTTTTGTATTTGTTTAATTTGCTATATTGCGTATTTAAAAACACAGAGCTGTACTGACTACATATGCTCATAAAGTCTAAAAGAAGAGCATTTTGTGTGTGTTTTCTAACTTAATAACCAAATAATGAAAAGCTGTGTTCTGTACAGCTGAATATGTTTACACATCTATGCCATTTGAACAGTGTGGGTAGAACAAGTGACGCCTCACATAGTAACAGAGTAACAGACTCACATGGGTGAAACTGTCACAAATGAATGATTTTGCTGTTTTCAGAGGCACAGTGTTAGAAATGTGAGTGTTAAACGGCTTCAGTCTGATCCATAACAGCTCTGACATATTGTTTTAAAGCTTACTGGGAATGCATAATACTCCCAAACAGCAGAGGATATCTGAGGAGGATCATAGCGCTCTAACTTCTCCTTTGGGCTTCAGTGAGTCTGCCGGAAAAATTGTCAGACCTGGCAGCTGTGGCGTCGGGCACATTTAATATTGTGCTTGATTAATGTATCTGCTAACTGCTAATTGAGTGGTAGCTCAGACAGACCTGCTGGGCTTCATGTGAGCAGACAGGCGGAGAGAAGATGGGAGACAGAGAGACCCGCAGAGTCCATTTCTCACAAATAATAATCATCATAATAACAGTAATACACTATATTTTTATAGTGTATTGTTATTTTAATATAACACAGTTTACAAAGTGCATTGACAGCCAGGGGTACACAGCCATTAAAGTCACATAAATACACACATATATATTCAAAAAAGACTAAAAATGTGAATAAAATGAATGACCTACTGGAGCAAGGATTGACTTAGAAGCAAGTCTATAAAAAGAAAGAGGAAGTGATTCTGTAAGCCTGCTGTCTTCAAGAAGGTCATTACAGGATCTAAGGCTGTGAGCAAGCTTATACGGGGTCAGTAGTTCTGCTATGAACCCAGACAAGGATGAGCTAATCAGTAAAATCCTAAAATCAGATTTAAACCATAGAGGAAGCAAGCAGAAAGAACCCAGGGTAGGGGTCATATGATGCTGTCTGCTAAAATCAGTAAGAAGCCTAGCAAAAGAGCACCCATTCATATTTTAGCTTGTTTACATAAACCAATAAGAGATTTTATTAGTGGACAAGAAGTAGACACAGATCAGCTGAACAGGTAAATGGTATGAAACAAAAACATTTGTTCTTTATTCCACTTTTAACTTTTGTTTAACTTTTTTATTTAAGCATTTTTTTATAGTAACAGTAATAATAACAATAGTAACTATATTAATAAGATGAGCTATAAAAATACTACAAAATCAGCTATGAAAAACTGTGTCTCTGCAAGACAGATGTATTGAAAATAAATAGTTGTCCGTCTTGGTAGCGGAGTGTATAATTCATTGTCCTTAGAGCTGACAGGAGGTCAGCCGAGGCCAGGCAGACTGCCGGGTTTGTAACGCACTGGTGGAAACCCTGAGCTTGCGTAACGTAGCTAGCATGGCCCAGCTACCTGTCAACGAGCAACAAACAATTAAAATGTTCCTGTACAGAACATTTTAAGTCGATCCTTGCTCCAGAGGAAGTTCCTGTGACTGTGTTTAATGTTACAAGCTGAGTTGCAGCTCTGATCTTTACTGTATTTGTCTAACATTATTTCTCCCTAAATGTCAAGTTCATTTGTTGTCTAATCTCTTGCAGTTACGAGTTCATGAGGAAGAATCTTATATTCTATCGAACAGAAATCCACAGGCTCACAGGGAAGGTGAGACCCCTCGCAGCAGCACGCCGGTGCGCTAAATGCCACACAGATGGTGCTTCTAATCAGCAGCGTTCATACTGTGGGATGGTTACAGTGCGGTTTGGAGTTCATATTATCATCATCAATAGCAGACAGACTGGTAGATTAATGAAGGGGGATGGTTTTGGTTTTGGTTTTGCTCGGCAATGCTGAGCTCTCTCGGCTGCTAAGATTCATGTAAACAACACTGTGGAATTTCATGATGACTCTCAAAGCGCACAACGAAACATGCCAGAGAAAGCTCAATTAGCAATGTGTCTCTCTAGAAACAATTTCCTAGTTACTCGGGATGAGACAGGCTGCAAAAGCTTTTCTCCTTGTGTTGTACATTTGATTGTGCATATAATTATTCATTGCAGTGTGAGCCGCAGCTGAAATCCCACTAACCTCTGGAGATCTCAAAAATCTCTAAGTAAAAGCCAGGCTTTCTGACCTCTAGGTTTGAGTGCTTTTCTATTTGTTTGGTTCTTTGAGTCTGATTTTGCTGAAGTAAACATTTCATATAAACTCTGCTTCTGCTTCAGTAACAGCTAATTTTCCCTGTACACTGTTTTACTCACTGCCTGCTTTCTCCACAGGACCCCTTGGAGCAGTATGGTATATCCGATGAAGCTCGTTTCCAGGTCAGCAACGGTCGGCCGCTTGTGGCTAGAGATACCTCCTCCCTGTAGACCAGCGTCCTGTGTTCACATTCTATGTTTTATTTTGATTAGTTCACTCTGCCATTCCAGCATCACTCCACACTGGTTTGAAAACCACAGTGTTATCGCCCACAATCTTGCTCCTTAGAGCTCTACTGCGCTGCATTTATTATATCTCGGGTTGCCTCAGACCTATGCAGGTGTCTTAGGTAATGTAAAGCCATCCTCAGTTTAGTCCTGCTGCGTCTTTGTCAGTCAGTACAAGCAACGCAATGCTTTGGTTAAGTCAACACTATCATATTTGTGATTTCGGGGCATTCTCATTTGCCTTTTCTGTGTCATTTTTAGACTTCTGGCCCAGTTAATCAGTTCCCTGTATAAACATTTTATGTTTTCTACTGTTGATGCTATACATTCAGACAATGTGATTTCAAGAGCGACTTTCATTCAGGACTATTAGTAATGTGAGTAGAACTATGTTCAAAATATCTAATTTGAGGACATATTAACACGTAAACCATTGTTTTAATGGAGCCTTTTAAAAGAAGCTTACAGTTGACAGCGTGCCTGATTTAGAAAACCTTTGGCAGTATTCCTGCTCTGATTTGAACTGTTTTTGAGTCTTTTGAGCTGCTGAGTTGAGCCACATATTTTACTTAGTGTCTGTGAAAAAGGCAAAGCTGTCCAGATGTGTATTTATCATGTTATGCCTCATTGTTAGATTCCTTTAGTGTTTGAGACAATACTTTTGCACAGTTATTGGGTGTTGAGGGTTGTTTCTTTTATTACAACTATCGTACTTGATCAGCCTGCTGTACCTTTTCTGTGGCACTTTGATTCAGACCCCTTTATGTAAGCTGTTGAACCATGTGTTTAAAAACCAGGCTCTTGGCATGATTCAGGAAATAAAAATAAACAAATCACGTGAATATTTGTGAAAACGAGAGCTGACATTTTGCTCTCAACTCAAGTTTCCTGTAAGACTTTTTTGCATCTTTCAAATTAGCGAAATCTTTGTTTTTCAAGAGTCTCTCTGTAATTGCATGTCATTGAATGTATCTTCATTTTAAATGTTTTGCACATAGAACTTTTGTTTTTAGTTAACAACATCTGCTTCACTGGCATCTCTTTTTTATACTAATAAAGCCATTTGAAAGAAATTTTAAATTCATCCAGTGTGTCATCTGTCAACCAAAAGTGAAAGCATTTGATAACACACACACACGCACACACACACAAAATGTAATGTGTGTCGGTGGCTACATCCAGCTCTTGTAAATAGTCTGTAGCTTAGGTTCTATAGGTTCTTAATACATTTTGGCCTGCCAGGGTGTAGCTGGAGCCCCTGTGCACACACTAAACTAAACAGACAGGCACACCTCCACTGCTACTACAAATACACAAAATGAAACAAAAAGGAAAGTTGATGCTGAAGGCAAATAATTTCAGCTAAGGCGAGAGACTGAGCTTTCGTATTTCCCTGGTGTAAAGAAGTGCTTGTGTATCAATTTTCCATAAGCCAATTTCTGTTATCAAACGACACAATTTCCTTTGTCATTTTGATGTTTGAATCCACACACCAGCAAAGGAGGAGTTGTGAACAGGGAGCTGAGGCTTCAAAAAGTCAATGAAGTGAGAAGAGGCATGCAACATCAGCACAGCAGACGGGTTG